AGTCATGGTTCAGAGTCTGAGATCCAAGCCACTTGATCTGCCACTAAACTTATTATTCCTAGGCCTTTTGGCAAGCAGAAAATTATCTTTGAAGTATCAACCACCTTGAAGGGTCTCCTTGAATATATTGCTAGTGATTCAAATTGCTTTCCTTAGTATGTCTAAACCTATTGTAAACTGGATTCCCTGCTTGAATTGATATGCATTGAATGAAACATAAAATCCAAATATCCATAAATCTGGACACCAGGATTAGAGAGGTTAATAATTTTAAAAGACCAATTACAAGCCTGCTCGATTGGCTGCCACATTTTAATTGTAAAATGTACAAATGCAGTTTATGTAACCTAATGCTGCAGAGAAACATAACCAATTAAGGAGGGCATTGCCATTGTCATTAAGCTAATCTCTGTGTATTTGTGCTCTGCTGTCAAATGAGTATTCATGAATATTTACACTGTATTCACATTGAAATCACATCTCAGGTAATGGATAGCACCAGGAGCACTACTGTTAGAGAATCCAGTTGATAATATTGTCCATGGAATCACTATTTGAATCTGCAAGATTTCACTGGCAATGGGAACAATTGATGGAAGTTCTCCTATGGGCAGGGAGGGAAAGGGTTGTATGTATTCAATTGGGAAATCAGGAAATCACAACTACTTGAGAGATGTGATTGCCATGACTTTTACATATTTATTTTCTTATAACATAAAAATTGTCACCTATTCATCTTCATTCTTTTTTTATTAGCGAAATAAAGCTTTCCTTTGGGAATGAAAGGGATTGCTTTACATTTCTTGCATCCCATAAGAATGAAGTTATATATGAGTCACCCTGAATATAACTTTTTTTTATCTATTTCTACACACTGTTGCTCACTTTTGCTCTTGGGGAGACTACTCACAATCTTGGTATCGATAATTGAGGCATCTCCTTTCGTATTGTCTGAACCATGAAGGCACAAAAAAATGCACAAAAAACGGAATATGTACTACATTTGAACTAAAATTTACTTTAAAATCGTGCTAAAAAAAAGACCTGAAGTACGAATAAAATGTGATAGTTTCGATGATTCCACTATATTTCCTTAGTTTTGGGATAACATGATTATTTCCTGAAAAACCTTTAGAAAAAAAAACCAAAGCATTCACTCGACACATTAATCTATTCCAGGTTTTCACTTCGCGCTCTGTATCACAACGGCTTTGGGATGAAGGTATTGCAGGGAGAGGATTGGTACCTTCTATCAGGTACTTCTTCTTTTATTGGTACCCTAGGAAACTCGCATCCCGATTGAACCCGTGCCGCGTCCCGAGATGTGTGAGAATCGGGGAACAATGTATCCGTGATACGATTATGATATTAAAAGCAGACTTGAACGTCATGAGCTTCCCTGTGGTTTCATGTCGGGTGGGGTTTCTTTTTCTCTCATGCCTATTCTAGGGGGATTTTTTTCCCGGGTGGCAGCTTTTCCGAACCCCTGTGCGTTCGGCTGCTCTATCAATACATGCACTGGTGATGCGAACGAACGGAGAATCTGAAGAAAAAGAGGGAGAAAATAAAATAAATGGCGAAGAGTAGGAAAACCGGCGTCTGCTCCTGCTACGTCTCGTGAGGAGAGAGAAATGTTATTGGTATTCGGGCATTTGCCCGGAAGGCCGTCTGCGTTTCTCCTACTCGACGAAACCGAGACACGCGAGTCCGTCTCGTCTCGGGCAGGTCAAATGCCGAAGGGGCTCGTCTGTGCAGGCGTATCGAGTCGGAAACGACCCCCCCCCCCCCAAATCGTGAGAAGATGCACTTAACCAAAAATTTGGAAGTCGTCTTTTTTTTTCTCCTATTGTTGTGTTTCGGAAACGTGAGAACGATCGTTGGACTTCCTCGTTCGAGTCGAATGGAATCGGACGGCATAGAGCGTTATAAAAGACCAGGATCGAAAACTCGGCGACTCGGGCAGGCGAACATCGGTCTGTCGCGCGGTCAGTCACGTGAGTACGACTCGTCCGTCTGGGCCCGAGTCGCCACCATCCGTCGGCCGGAGGACGAACGGGTCGAGCGGAACGAAGCGAACGCACGGGAACCCCAACATGCGACGTTCTTTCCTCCCGTACGTCACGGGAGCCTTCTCGCCTCGCTCTCCGATCCGTCGGCAGGTACAAAGGTGCCCCCGCCGGTAGGCTCCGGTTTCCGGACTCTGCCTCCAAGCCTTCGCTTCTTTCCCGGTCGAGCAGTGACTGGGGCGTACGACTCGGCGCAACCGGTATCTACCGGAACGGGTGTCCCGGGCTCGGCTGTCCTCACGACACTCATACCGCGATGCACAAGTCACATCGACTTTCCGACGTGGGTTCGTCCGAGTCGCAACCGTTCGAAGGGAAATAAGGTTATCGCCACGAATTTCGTCCCTCCCATATGGTTCGCCCCCTCGTTGCATACTTCAACGTGATGCCTATAGAGCGTTATCGACAAAATTTCACCGACTTTGGGTCCGAAATCGTGAATGGACGGTGCGTGCAAGTTCCTCTCGATCGACATAACTGTCGATGCGAAAAAAGGGAATTTCAAAACGCGGTTGGAGAGCCGGAATCGAAGTCGAAAGGACTCGAAATTCCTGTCGCTTCCGAATGTGGAAGCGGTGAGGCCGACATTCACACCGATTTCGTGATTTTATCACCACCGTGTGCCGTCTCACGCGAAGAGTCGCGAGCCGACATCGGTCGGATGAGGGCACGACGCCGTCCAGACCTTCCAAGGAACGGAGAGCTTAACGTCAGGATGAGAAATTGTGGTTGCGACGGTGACGCAGGCACCCGTGCTGCGGCGTCGGCAATTTTTTCTCCATTCCTAATTCCGAAAGCCACACGCGATTGATCCGAGACACGTCGACCTGTTCCATCTCTTCCCCGGTTCAGATCGTGGCGGCAGCGATGAAATCGACGAGTGCTAGACCCATCCATTGCATTCATAACATTTGGTGGACCTTTAACCCTCATCCCTAGTTAATCTCCCCGGGGGGGAAGCCTCTCCAACTCCCCTACTCCCTGGGCCCGGGTTTCTTTGGCGAGACCCACACAGCTTCCAGGGGTGCCCCGCTTCCGTCATGAAAAAAAGTCAGTGGTGTAAGCTCGAAACATCTAATATTGATTAATACTAATTGAAAGAGACCGAAAGTTGTGGCGGCCGTCACCCCTAACGCACGGGCCTACGATGCTATCCCATTCTGAACCATAGGCTAGGCCATATAAATTGAAAGAGGCTGAAAGCTGTGGTGAATGGTTGTCACTCAACCGCGGTCTATCACGCAAGGCATACAAGGCTAGGGACATAAAAACATTTTGTTAGAACCAAACTGCTTCATACCTTTACGTAAACATTCTCAAATTTCCGCCCATTAGACGACCAGCGCAGCGGCCGCTAGTCAGTTTTTGATTTAACACATTGCTTACCGGACATTTTATCCAGTCGATCCGCCTCTCTGACCCCAGTTGCCTTAGCGTAAAGCTCGATGCCTACAAGGCTATGACTTTTTCGGCCATATGCTAGACAAAAGGACTCGCGAAAGGACTTAAAAACGGAGATCTCCGTGAGCGGTACGCTAAGTGTTAAGAGGATTTAAAATGCTTAAGTCGTCGAAGCCAGCTTCCATCGTTTCCGAAAAATGAGCTGCCTTCGTGATGCTCCCTGGAAAACTAGGATAGAACGCACGAGATTTTGCCGAAGGTGACAGTCTCGATGCTCATTCATCGGAGCTCCGAACACGACTCGGCCTCCGAGACGTTTCCAAATCGAGAACATCCACGCTCAGTGCATCCACGTGACCTGGCCTTCGGCTCCCTCTAGACCAGCAGTGCCCAAAGTGCGGCCCGCGGGCCGCAATCAGCCCACAAAGTGTCTTAGAGAACATCCACTTTGGGCATCCCTGCTCTAGACGAATGAGGGGATTATGAAGGGTGTTACGCGATTGGTCAGAAGGTGAAAAACCCGCGGAACTGCCCGGATGGGAAGCCTAGTATCTCGGAGCTCTCCTTCTCCTGCCTGCTGCCACGAAGGACGGAGGTGTCCCCGCGTCGTCTCGACACACAACCTACCTAGCTTTTCTCCCGTCGTTCCAATTTTTGTGTCGTCTTCATTGTATCATGTAATGGTATGATCAAGCTGTAGGCCAGAGGACCTCTTCACAAACGACGAAGGCTTGTGAGTTCGTTCCGTGGTATTCGTTCTCGAGGCTTTTCTCGGTTCGGGAGCTCTCGATCCGTTTCTTCGGCTCTTCGACGGTTAAGATGTTGCCACTGAAACCGAAAATATTTAATGAAGGATCGCAAGGGGACTGAGTTAGGTCAAGCATTCGATTACGCGTGAAGTGGCTCTAGGTAACTCGATCTGACGGTAAGCATTCCTGGAAAACACGATGAGCCCGACCTTTCGTGTAACTTGCGAACGTAAAAAGTATCGCTCAAGGAATATGGGAATCTTTCTTTCCTAAGACGCGGTACCGACATAGCAGGCCGTCAATTAGTCGATTTGAAGATGCAACCGGGTCAAGAAGCGGGGTTTTCCGAATTTTGTCTGTCTCCACGGGTGAGAAGTGAAGTGAAATACCCCCATGAAAGCTCATGTCCAGGCTTAGCTTGGCTTTCGTGGTGCAATTGCACTCGTTCCGTTTCGCCATTCGTCTCAAATTTGTTAACCTGCTTCGATGAGCCTCGGTCACGCCTGGAAACCGCCCTCAGCTCTGGAGAGATAGTTTTTCCTCCACGAAATCCTATTCCCGCTTGTGCATGACTGCTTTCTCGTTTCTTCCTCTAAATGATTGCAACTCATTTTGTTGAACGTGGGAAGCCTTGGTCCAAACGGGGGGCGGGTGAGGCAGACGCTCCCATCGCAAGACCTGCAACGTTTCTCTCGCGAGGCCTGGCGTTGTCATGCTGCAGAATGACAACGTTAGGCCTTGCGTGCGTGCAGTCGAGCGCAGCCAAGCGTCGTCGTGCTGCAGAATGACGACGTTAGACTTCGCTCGGCTGCGGACGCAAGAAGAACGTTGGAAGCCTTGGGGTGAGAGTTCCGGTCTCTCCCTCCTTCCAACCCTGACCTTGTCCCTTACCTTTTCCATCGGCTTCTCGAGGTGAGGAAAACGTCACGAAGCAGTCGTTACAAATACGAAAAATATTTGCATGCTGCTGTGAAGCATTGGTGTCGACAGTAACCAGTTTCTTTCAGGACGGGTTTCCGAAATATTAGGACTTTCTTTAAGCTAGACAGTAGAGTGGACATATGGAATTCGGAAAAGGTATGAAATGAAGAGGTCTCAGCATTAACCATTGGTGTTCTTGCACTTAGAGGAAGCAGAAGGTTTGGCATTATAATAGGTTGGGTTTTGAGATTTTTGACAAATCCATTCGAGTGTTCTATTTGATAGCCATAATGTGAAGCGTGATGTGAAGGAATGTTATATACGGTGTAAAGGAATTTCTCAATATATAGGTAGAGGTCTTGGCAGACAAATGAACTCTGACTATGTAGGATCTTGTGTCTCCTACTTTAGGGTGGGAAAGACCCAGAATGAAGAATGCAGTCATTTCTTAATGTCAAATTCTTAGTTTTTGAAACTCAGTGGATAACTGGTGAAACACTCGTATTTAATGTAGTAATGTATCTAATGTAATTGTAGATTTTAGAAGTTTACAGGTTTTTTGGAGGGGGAGACAAGGGTGGAAGCAGACGGGAGAGAGCAAGCGACTGGAGGAGGAGAAGAGGGAGCAGGCGACTGGAGGAGGAGAAGAGGAGGGAGCAGGCGACTGGAGGAGGAGAAGAGGAGGGAGCAGGCGACTGGAGGAGGAGGAGAGGAGGGAGCGGGCGACTGGAACTAAAGATTTGAAGTGTCCCTTTGGTCCCATAGTTTCACTTAAGTCCAATTCAGTGACAAGTGTCTGAGGGAGCGGGCGACTGGAGGAGGAGGAGGAGAAGAGGGAGCGGGCGACTGGAGGAGGAGGAGGAGAAGAGGGAGCGGGCGACTGGAGGAGGAGGAGAAGAGGGAGCAGCGACGTTGGTTCTGTAGAATGGACCAAGTTGCCTTTGACCAGAAGCCCTGAGGAATTCTGCATAATCACAACACGCAAAGAAGGGACTCGCAATCTAGAGGTCTGAAAGTAGCCTCAATTATCTCATTAGATATGCTAGAAATAGGAAATATTCACAAAGAATGCAGAGAATGCTGCCAGCATTGTTTAACAAGATCTAGTATAAGGTTTTGGTGATTCAAAGTTTTCTGCTCTAAGAGGGTACTTGCTCACATGATTTGGTTATTGTGAATGTATTTTGCAAAACTCCACAAATTCCTTTGGGTGAGAGATTAGTGCCTGTTCAAGAATGGAATATCACCACACAAAGTCTGATTAATAGGTTTACTATAAGAATTTAACTTCACTGAAAGATCACAAAAAGGAATGTGACAGTTTCAAAAGAAAAGGAACAAAATGTAATAGAACCTTAATGAATAGAAAAGGAACTGGTCCATCTGATACAAAACAGGTTTTATTTTGAGTCTTGTAGATTTAAATAAAGATTTACCCCAGGTTTAATTCCTTGCCCAATAATATCCCTATTACCACCTAATTTGGAAATGGTCTCAAAAGAAACTCTTGTATCCTGCCCTCAGACACTTGTCACTGAATTGGACTTAAGTGAAACTATGGGACCAAAGGGACACTTCAAATCTTTAGTTTGGGAGAATATAAAAGATAACATTTTGAGAGAGGGAAGACTCCAATAAAGTGGTAGAGCCTAGTCCCTGTTCAGCTAAGAACTGACTTCTCACTTTCAATCCTTCCTCTGTTGTGGATATTAGAGGTTACCTTAACTGACCAACCTCCTCATTGGTCATCTATGTTTCAGACAAAGCTTTAATTGGATAAACAATTTGGGACAAATTCATTCTCATTAATTTTTGGATCCAGTTTACAGTCCTTGTACATATCAAAGACATGAGTTTGAAGTAAGTGTAATTTCATAAACTACCTGCTGCACTAGAGTTTAATCTTGATTCTGGCAAGTGTGGACTAACACAATGTCAAAATGACCACAGAAAGTTAGCGAGTAGCCTTCATTAAGTGGCAAATAGCTCAATACTGGTTCAAATATATCCATGCTCTCCTTGCATACGTCAATCCTAGGTACAAGGGTCAAATTTGAACATGTATGGGTACAATTGCTCCAATTTCTAAACAAGTCTTGTACATTGGGAAAATGCTGAAAAATCTGATTTTGTGTAGTCTAACATTGGATGCTTAGTACTGTGGCACCACAAATGCCTCTCTTTCTCCTTTGGTGTGCTTCTAGCATTCCCTAAGAGGTAGGAGGAGAGGTGGAAACCAAACATCCCCCACGTCATAAAATTGTCCTCCCCCTTTTCCCCTGTCCAAGCGAAATGGCCATCCTGTCTGCCCCTCACTGTCGTTCAGATTTCCTTTCTACCTTTCCACTCCATACTGGCTATATTTCCCAATCATTGTGAATTAGTTTTGATGACCTTGCCTGGTGTGCCATGGTAAAACCGTAGTAAAGTTTGTGTTTTTTTCTTTCTGGGGTCAATACGACCCCATTATGCCAGTCTAATAATTAAAAAGGATTTCAATTGAGGGTTAAGAACCCCAAAAAGTTGGTAATTAAAAAATAAGATTAATTCGAACAGGATGGACATTTAAGTGCACCTGAAGCCACACATTGTTGAAAGTGCTTTAAAAAGGTATAGCCCTTGTATGGTTATGGTATACCTTATGTATCTGTCACATTTGACTTTCCTGATGGTGAACATAGTTTTTTCCCTAAAATCTAACATCCGCCACAGCAACCTATTTGACTTTAATGTCACTTTTTGGCTTTTTGACCCCCCCCCTGCTGCTGTTAAGATTTATTCTTTGTTCATGCTGTTAAATTTCAAATTTGAATTAAATTCTTTTTTTGAACATTCTTTGCATGGTAGATAAATTATATTGGTACTTACTGTTTTGTGATAGGTGCCTGACCGGTGGTGAGTGGAGTTTTGTCCTTTTGTGGTATATGGGTTTCCATTTCCTGGCTACCAATTTAGCCAGTTCATCCTCCAGGTATGTAAGTTGCTGTTATTTATAATGAGTTTTTTGATAGGTTTATATAAATGTTTGTACAGGGTGACCAGAAAGTCCTGTCCATCAGCATTTTTACAGCAGCTCTTTTAATATTTACACATGAACTACAAGTCAGCAAATGAAGGAGCACAATAGTCTTAGCAACACAACAAAATTACCCAGATTCAAAATGACCACCCTTTGCATCTCTACACGCCTTCAGATGGTGCGGGAAGTCATCAACGATTTCACACAGCTGATTTTCGGTGATCTCATTCCACGCTTTCAGGATAGATGCTTTCAGCGAGTCCAGATTTGTATGTCGTGTAGCACACACCTTCCTCTCCATTATACCCCAAACTGCGTAATCCAGCGGATTTAGATCAGGCGAATTCGAGGGGTAAACGTCTTCATCCCAAAACGCAGGAAACAGCTGTCTGCAAAGGGCTTTCGTGGACTTCGCTCTGTGTGATGGTGCCCAGTCCTGCTGAAGTGTCCACTGGGCTTCTCCGAAATGAGAGTCCGCCATGGCTTCAGCACATCCTGAAGGATGCGTTCCTGGTAGAATTTGGCATCGATTTTGGGTCCTTTCTCGACGAAGACGAGAGGCGTCTTTCCACTTGCAGTGACTCCACCCCATACCATCACAGAAGCTGGGAACTTCTGTCGTGTGACAAAAGCTGCTTCTGGACGCTCCTTCGAGTTCTTTGGCAACAGAATCCGGTTGTTGTGGACATTGAACATTTGTTCTAGGGTAAATACCTTTTCGTCTGTGAAGACAACATGTTGAAGAGCACCGGTCAGCGGCTTCAGCTTCTTCACTTTTGCAAGTCGATTGTTCATCATGGCCTCCGTTAAGTGATGACACTTTCATAGCCTGTAAGGGTGATATCCAAGAACCTTCTTGCACAGAATTCTGGCGGATTCTCGCTTCAAACCGGTGCTGCGGGCCAATTCCCGCATATACTGCCTTGGTTTTAGCTGAATTCTTCTTTTTAGCATCCTCCGGTTTTCAGGAGTGTTGGCGGTTCGCGGCCTTCCACTTCTTGGACGGTCTCCTTCATGCCCCAACTCCTTGTAACGGTTAATGGCCCGGATCACGGTTCTTCTGCACGCACCAAGTGTCTTTGTGATATTGCTTGCACTCATTTTTGTCTCGTGGAAACGGATGATGGCACAACGCGTTTTCTTATCCATCAAAAAATACAAAAGAGTGACGCTATAGAAATGAAACTTTTCACACACATAGACAATGTTGGGGAGTAAAACTGCATGAAAAGATTGCTAGGGCTTTTGTATTTCTATAGTTAAAAATATGGGACAAAAGTGGACAGGACTTTCTGGTCACCCTGTATATTGTATGTGAAATTGGGTTATGGCCTATTTTAATCCTTTCATTTTTGGGAAATCATGTTCCTTCATCACTTCAGAATTTTATTTGATAGTTCTTGCCAAATTAATGATGATCAATGATTCTGTGAGCGTGTTATTTGACTTGATACTAAAGGAATTTTTGCTTACTTTTCTTCAGTAACATCGACATGGTCCATTGAAAAGGACCCTAGCATCTGTCTGTGACCTAAAGCAGTCTTCTGGATGTTACTTCTCATACCCTCTGACAGTTTTCTCCCTGCAGCAACATCTACCTTGATAAGTTGAATATCTTTCTTCCATTGAGTTTAAATCTTTGTCTTGCTCCATCCATGTTGATGAATGATACAGCTCTGTGCAAATGAATCAACTCTTTATTTTCATATATTAAGTAGTTTGTTAGTATCCTGCTATGAGGTGTTGTAAGCCAGTTCTCACTGTTCTTGAATCTGCTATGATGGCATCTTGGAAGCAAAAGGTTAAATGCCTCTTAATGGTTAGCACAATTTCAATCAGTGACTCATGTCCTGCATAAGTTAAGGTGCATGTGTGACACAGAACTTATTTGCATGACTCCATTCAAATATGATGCAATTTGAAGAGAATGGAAGTGTTGAACCATAACCACCTCCTTGCAGGTCTTGCATGGAGGAGGAAATGCATTTACCAGGCATTTTCATGAAGGGAACTCCTTGAATCCATGTACTTGTAGTTGTCTGTGAAGCCAGGGCCGTTTCTAGGCGTGTTGGTGCTCAGGGCAAGAAGTTCCAACGGCGCCCCCCCTCCCTCCTCCTTTACCCTGCTGGTGCCCCCCCCCCCCCCTCCTCCCCCTTTACTACTAGTGCCCCCCCCCCCCCCCCCCCTCCTCCCCCTTTACTACTCTGGCGCCCTCCCCCATCTCCCTTTACCCCGCTTGCGCCCCGGGCGATCGCCCGCCCCTGGAAACGGCCCTGTGTGAAGCACATCATTTACCTTGGATTTAGGGAGTTGAAACACAAGTGCACCTTGCCAGGTGGATTTGCTGGAACTTGGTGAAAATGCCTGGTGAATGTTTCCTCCTGTGTTAGGCCTGCTGGGAGATGCTTAACATTCCACCCATCCACTTTCTTCATGTTGTTCCATCTTCAAATGGAGTCCTTGTGAAGAAGTTACTCTGTATCATACTAGCATCTCGATTCGCACTGGACATGAGTTTTGAATTGAAATTGCGCTAACCATATCAAGCATTTAGCCTTTTGCTTCCCAGATGCCATTATAGCTGATTCTAGAGCAACACACATTAGGATCTAGTTTACAATGCCTAACAGTTGGAAACTAACAAACTGCTAAATATATTTTGCTGTGTGTGTATATTCACACCTCTTATTTTTAGCAGAAACTGCATTTAAAGCCAATGTAACCATTTTTGGACACTCTGTACTTAAAAAATGCTGTTGGCCTATTGGAGTTCACTTTCAGGTTTTAAATATGCAAATTGCATATGTAAATATTGCTAACATGCTCGCTACATGTAAGGATCAGACCCAAGGTTATTGGGTTATAAACAGAGGTTGCATGTTTGATTGGCATGCTATTTGAATTTGATTTGAATGAATGTATTAAAGATTTTTGGTGGATTTTTTAGCAGAACTACATGATAATGCTTTTTTATTCCAGGTAAAATACTTATTTCCTGGGAATAAAACAGCATTATCGGATAATTCTCGGTTCAAAAATCCACTCGTAGATTTAAAATGTATGCCAAGAAAGCCCTTGTTTCTTTACATGTCATGGGAAAGAATTGTGTATATTTGTTTTCTTTAAATTCAGCATAATTTTCTTAGTAGCTGTCACTGAGTGTTGGTTGAGTTTTTTTTTATTGGTTCTCTTAGAAAAGCAGATGGCTTCATCTGCATATGTTGTGGATCACTGCTTTGAAGCTCTACACTAGCATTGCTACTGTGCTATTGGTTGGACATAAGGTGGTGGGTAAGGTTAATGACTGCAAAAATGTGTATAGTCAGTAAAATCAAGGTTGTAGTGATTTCCTCTATGAGTGCTCCAATTGAGCGGGTTATGTAATTCTGGGCAAGTATAAAATTAGTGAGAGACTGGATCATTAATGACTGCTAATGAGGAGTCTGAGGGGTCATTTGTTAGAATTTTACTCTGTTCCTGTTTGACATGGAAAAATGGTCTGTGTTTAGAGGAGAGTTTAAGAATATGACTATATAATATATAAAAGTACTTCTGGCAGAAATATGATAGAGGTTGCTCAGTTGAAGTGTTGGCTCCACATTGTGGGTGTGTAGCTGGAATTCATATTTCACCCCTGTTCCATGTTGCTATAAGCTGGAAGGGCAGATGGCAAGGAAGTAGGATCAGGTGAAGGTGACAAAGGGGGGGTTCAATCTCATTGTAATTCTGATTTACTCCCATTTGATGTTTCAAGTTTTCTCGAGGAGCTGTTTTTATGATGGGCCTGGCATTGTCATGCTGCAGAATGACAATGCCAAGCCTCACACTTAGCTGTGTTGTGCAGCTTTGCATGGCCTAGTGTTGTCATGCTGCAGAATGGCAATGCTAATCTTTGCAATTGTCTGTGCAACTGAGAGCCTCAGCATTGTCATGCTGCAGAATGGCAATGCTAGGACTCACTTGTGTGTGGCATGTATCCATTTGTGGCATAGTGTTGTCATTCTGCAGAATGACAATGCTGTGTTTCACAAGGCTACACCCACAAGGGAAATTTGCAAGCCTAAGACTTTAAATTACTCACCACCCTGAAATTTATTCCATGTAACTATAAAAGTCATGTTAAATATGACTTGTTTGAGCACTGGAAGTAGGGAGTCCCCTGAAGAAAGGCAGATTAATTTTATTCAAACTAATCGAGTATTGGGGTGAATAATCTTTAGGCGTTATCAATGAGGGATGTTACAGGTGAGGTATGCTTTGAAGCTTGCAATTGTTTTACCATGTTGAGTGATATGAAAGAAGATGGGAATAGTCCACCATTACAAAGGAAGGAATTAGGACAAAAATCAAGCAACACATCTAAGTGATGTCCTTGTGATGTTACTGCAACATAGCATGGACATCACATGTTACTTGGGAAAGAACTGGAAGGGAATAATAGTCAAGGTGAACTTGATGGGAGACCATTTGAAGAAAGAAGCCAAAGCAAATAAAGGGTAAAAGTTAATTCTGTAGAAATCTTGTAGTCATTAAAGGAGAGTTTTAACTTGTGTTTTTAATGGGATAATACATTTTATCAGCAAATTAGCACACTTTGAACGAGATTTGAACAGTATTCATGGTAGGAGATATCATAGTATTGAGGATTAAATGAATACCCAAATAGCACATTTTAGCCAGAATAAATCCATTGGATTTACATTCAAGGACACTTGGACATCTGGTGGATGATATATAAGGATAAGTACTTAAAATTAAAGTACTTTTTGTACTTCAATTTTAAAATTATTTTTATGGTGTTGATTGATGGTGCTATTGTGTTGGTGTGATTATTGCGGTATTGCATGATGTTCATGATACATTTGATGCTAACAGCCCAGCTTCTTAACCTACTAACTCATTGCTTGTGAATGCTTTACTCATTTGGTTCAAATTGTGCTTCCTTGTTACTTCTGCTTTCCTTTTGCAGGAGCAGTTAACCCTTGTGAGTCAGAGGAACCATAATCTGGCAATTCTGTCAATCCCTGTTACTCGGAAGGTAGGGTAGATATCAGTGCAAAGTGCTACTAGAAGTTTGTATTTACAGGTTGTTTGTATTTAAGTGCAACATAGGGAAGTTTTGTCGCCTGTTTGTGGAGTTCAGGGCGTGCCTTATATGCCACCAGGTTGCAAATCTGGAAGGATGAAACTTATCCCTGGTATGTTTCCTTGCAGATATGCAACCCAGTGGGCCTTTTAGCATTGGAAGAACTCCACCTACAGGTGGCAAAATATTCCCTATGTTGAGTTTAAATATGAACACCGGGTATATATTATCTTACTATACAAGGTGTCCCATATGTCACCACACCATTTCAAAAAATCACATTTACTAAAGAGTTTGTGCTAAAATTAACTGAACAATAGCATGTCACCTTTGTTAATGGAAAAATTGAGGTATTTGAGTTTTGAAAGTGCCTCAAAATGTCCTCTGCCTACATTAATGCATTTTGCATGAGGCTGAGCACCAAAAAATTGCTGAAATTCCATTTGAATTCTGATGGGACTCTGGAAGACCTTCATCCAGGTTTCATCTTTTCTTGACTTATGGGACACCTTGTGTTGTGTTGTCTGGAAAGGTTAACTCGGGGACGTCCAAGGTGAGACTGTTGAACCATGCTGCTCAAGGTAATACTGAGGTTGGTTACCTCTGCATGGTTGGGAATATTTGGTGTTTTAGTGATTGGTTGAGTGGCTGACAGCAATTATTTTATGTATAATCTTGCCTAATTTTTCATTGAGTAAGAGTCTGTGGTCAAACCACTTTGAAGATCATTATTTATTTTTCCTCTGAGAATGTATGGCTAATATTTCTGCATCCTCATGTTCTAGCAGGGAACTGGATGTACTGAAGCCAAAGGTATGAGGAAGCCCCAACTATTTGATGTGCTACTGACTGCATCATCGGTGGGAACCTCATGAATGAAGCCGTCCTGAGATACAGAAACTCCCTATGGATGCCTTCATGGGATTGTTACCTTTGTCTCCAGGCTTCCACCTCCCTACTGCTTAATACAGGGTTATGTGAAGAACAGACCTGCCCCATTCAAGTCATACCCATCCTCTTCTGGTGACATGGGAAGTGGGAGCAGGAAACAGGAGCCTCCTAAGTGGAAGGGAAATTGAAAATAACATTGTTCCATTTCATTGCAAACATGTAACTACTTTTGGAGGTTTGAAATGAAAGCACTGTTTTGCTTGGAGCCATGATAACCGTACACTTGTACTAGATTGGATTTCCTGACTTTCAGACTCTGAGTGAGGCAGGGAGATGCGGGGAAAGTGGGTGAAGTAACCTTTGTCTTGTGCAGTTAAACTGTCAATTGTTTTTCTCCCTTTTCCATTTTCAATATGAAAATCGGAATTTCCCTTCATGAGGGTCATTCTACAAGCTTTTAAGACTCTTTCTATGAAATGTAGGAAAATCATTGCACTCACAACGGACTTTGTTACTGGTGTGAATTGGCAATGATTCAATTGCTTGGCCGTTCCAGAAATGGCATTGGTAACATTGGCTTTTTCCTCACTTATTTTTCCAAATGTGTCAATGCTTCAGCACAATTTCCATGACACCTTCACTACCCTAGATTGTGAGCATTTTATTGTCTAACGTTCTGCATGCAACCATTATGATTCAGAATGTGTATTGGCATCTTGTAATGCCAGTTTAAACCAGGAGAGGGTTTTTTTTTTTAAGTGTCAGCCAACCTTGAGCCCGTTTTTATGCAATCTCTAGAGGTGCAGGTTTACTTTTTCTTTCTCCACTTGATCTGCTGTCGAACCTTCCTTCCCTCCCATTTTCAAGGGTGCACCATTTGATGCTGCTTCAGGTTTTACATTTCCGATGGGCGAAAAATGATTCAAGGCTCCAACTCTGTTACCAGCAGTGGGTGAGAGAGATTCTTGCCATCTCGTGCACAAGGCATGGTGTGTTCTTTCCCTGCTCCCTACCGCGGCAGAGCAAGTACAAATACCGTATGTCCAGAATACATTAGTTTGAACTCTGTCTCGGAAATGGTCGCACATGATATGATATGCACATGGATGGAACTATACGACTGCAGAAGCTACAACGGACCAAGATGCATGTTACAAGGTGGTTACAGTATTTGTACCACTTGAAATTCTTGCAAAATTGGGTCTGAAATTAATTTACAATGATTTACTTTAAAAAAATATTAACAGCTGAACTCATTAAATGTTGATAAATGATTAAGCTCTTTGCCTTACATTTACTGGGAAAATTAGCTCCAGGAGTCTCAAAGGTTTGCCTACTCCACATTGCAAGAGTCCTCATTGGAGAGCTCAGTCAACACCAGCTTTTGAAAAAGGACCTCAACTAGGGATTGGTTATTGACCAGTCAATGGAAAATGTCAAGTGACTTAACCATGGTCAATTATGGTAAAATAGACCAACTTTTATTTTTTTTTCATGCATAGTTTGTGCACCATCTGGATGTCATGCCTCATAAGTGACAGATTAGGAATGGGGAGTTGACTGGTCAACATGGTCATTTCCAACCATTTGCAGACAATTATGGTCACGAACCCAACAAGAGTGAAGAGACTTCATGGCTGTATATGATCATAAATGACCATATTGACCAGTCAACATCTCATTGCTAAGGTATGCTTTATACATTGCACGAGTTGGAACATTTAACTGAAAACAGTCATGTTTCAGTGGTAGATTCTGAGACTAGATAGCTCCATAAGTACTCTGAATAATGAGGAATTCAGCTGTCTCTCCAGAACTGGATTTTTGTGGTTTCTGGCATGATTTTTTTTTTTTCCTGCCAAAAAACATGGCATGGCACTTCACAATCACTTCAAATAACATGGAATTTAAATCAGATCAAGTTCAGATTCTTTTCTTTTTTTTAAGCATCCACCTTACTCTAGGGACTAGTGGCTGGTTTCTTGCTACCAATATGTCATTCTGTGTCTTTAAATCACAAATCACTTGAAATCAGGTTTTAGCTTCTTTTCACTCTTAGTCATGAGCCTGATTGCAGGCAATGGTCTTGGATAGTGAGAAATCTGGATTTGTGGCTGAAGAAAAAGAGGCTGACCTGAGATTTATGTCTGACTTTTCACTTACTTGAGAATCAGCAGAAAACTTCCAGTCACTTTCTTTCATGTAAGAAAGATAAAAAATTATTGTCATGATAAAAGACTCCACTGCCAGATTGGGATAACATAAGGAACTCAGACTCTGGATCATCAGGATCTGAGTCCATCTCAAGTGAAATTTATGAATGATATGGTGCAACAGTTGACAGTTTTGACATTGAGAGTAATGAGCTGCATGCAAAAGTGATAGATTACGGTTGACATAAATAAACCCTCCCATCAAGAAACTACGGAAAGATCTTATCCCAGACCAGTCATCTTTCCTGCTGCAATTTCAGCCACTGGCACCTTGCCATCAAGGATGATACAAATAGCATCAACTGCTTCCGCAAACTCTTCTTCATTGAGACCTTATTCAAGATATTTTTTAATAGAGTTAAAAGCTTGCTGTATGTGCAGGGCAGTGAAACATTTCATGGTGAGTGATCATAGCTCTTGGAAGTTCTTCCTTTTTGCTTCAAAGAACTTGACAGCAAAGGACTCTGCAGCACATTCTCTTTCAGTGTCTGTTCCAAATTAAGGAACAATTACTTTCCCTTGGCAAGTGAACATCTTTCTCCCTCACTGCCTTGAATTGCTCTGTGGATTGGTTCCTGAAGTTGCAACAGCTACTCATTTTAAGCCTAAAAGATGTCATTCAGAACATCTTTACGGATGGTCCTGTCCACCGCTGCCACTCGCTTCATCTCCAACCAACTGGATTGCAGCTTTAGACTTTTGTTTTAATCCAATCATTTGGATTGTTGTTCCCATGTGATGTAATGGGCATGGTAGCACAAGGGAAAGGGATACTCCTCTTGTTTCTTCTTCTTTATGGCATAAAATAACTGCTGGAACATGCTTGTACTGAAGAATTTTATTGCCCTCTTGCATCCTGCAACATGATTAGTAATGTTGTAGATAATTTAAATGTCTTTACTCCGTAAGTTTTACTCATTAAGTGGAGAAGATGAGCTCTACATCCATGTGTGATTAACTTTGGAAACTGTTCTTGCAGCAGGTTCCAGGTGGCTTTCATGTGTACAGCATTGTTAGTAACCATTGCCATTACCTTTGCCTCATGTAAGACAACTGTAATGCTTTGTTCTGATGCCAAAGCCTCATGATGCAAAGAAAACTCTGAGATCAGCTGTTATAGACTGTTAAGAAATAGACAAATTTCATCTATTGCATTATATAGGCGAACTTACCAAGCTAACTCAATGACCACATTGGCCAATTCCTCAGCAATTTACCCAACAGTAGGACTCTTCACCAGTCCCAATGTAATTGAAAAACACAGGCTCAAGTCAAGTGACCATAATGTTGATTATGGACTGCTGTCAGAGGTTATCAGATGACAAAGCCCCAAGTGATGACTCAGTCACCTCCAGAATTTGAGCATTTCTTCTATCAAACTCAGCATTGAGAAGAGTTGTGCCCTTTTCTAAATTGGATATTTCAGCATTTTCAGTTATCCAGTTTTTTTTTTCATTCCTTTGAGTGAACAAAAGTAAGGATATGAAATCTCGTGTATAAATTTAGCTTGCACAGAATATCACAAACTGGAACCTGGGCACCAGAACTAGTGGAAGTTGTTCTTTGTACAAGGCACTGGATGATGAAAATCATTGCAAACTGAAGTGTTTACTAGAAAAAGTTGGAGCTGCCAGTGAATGGCTTTTGAAAGGGTAATTGCATAATTTGTATAAGAAGAAACAATGATTAGTGAGATGGTATGGAGAGTGATGGTCACATTCACTTGAAAAACTGCACCCATAACCCATTCTCCACCAAGGAAAAAGGGCAATTGCTTTGATAGATGGCTCCACAAAACAGTTCATAGAGGAACTTCTTTTCATCAGGTGTGACAGTATCTAGGAAGTTTTTTAGTGAGACCTGATGGTAGTTGCTTCTTCCAGATGTTGTCAGGGTAGATGAAGCAGTGGGATGTATAATCCTACTGTGGCTAGATGCAGAACATGATGAATCATGGATACTTGTTGATTCCATGTGAAGCATTCCTGCTTCAGATTGAGCGATTGGCTTTTGTACCAGAGGTTCTTTATCAGTTACAAAAACAGGAGCTGGATGCTGTGATGACAGCATCTCCTTTGAACCAATGGATGCTGACACACATGACCAGAATATGCTTCTGCATTCAATCTGGATGTGCAATGTACTTGGATCCACTGAATTTTCCTATTGCAGTTGCTTAACGGCCACTTCCCTTCTAATAAAATTTCACAACAGTTCCCAGGGCTACATCTCTTTTTTTTTTCAGCCTACACCTTGCAATCTAATATTGGAAAAATTCATGAACACTTGTACCCACTGACACAAATAACATTCTAATTTCCTTGTGGAGGAATGATAACCATAAAGTTATTGAAGCCTAGACCACAGTCTCACCAGGCCAAGTTTGGCCAGTTGAACTAAAGCCAAGGCATACCATACAATCCTTGGTCTAAGCATAGCACCAGTAAGATGTCACTTTTTAAACATAGGCCAGCCTTGTCTTTCAGAAAAATCAGTTGCCTTGCTCAAGGAAGTTCTTCATAGCTAGATTTTCTTTTTTTGGCATAGGTATAATCCAAGCACTTGTCTCTTGATCGCAGACTCAAAGAATAATTTGATTCTCTGATGTAGACTATTATCCAAGACTATGATTGATCTTGCATTAAACTAAAGTTCTAATGCTGTAACCAAAATCTTGAACCTTAACTTTCAAAGTCCTTGAGGTTGTAACACCCTGAACAGCACACTTTGCCTGCACACACACTCTACATCACTCAGGTGAGAGGTCATGGTAGTTTGAGCTTTTTTTTAAATGTTCCTTAATCCAAAAGGTGCAAGAGTCAATAATGGACAATTTAATGGTGGTCAATTGACCCATTCAATTGGCCGCTCCATCCCTAACCTCAACAATATTGCTCAGAGCTTTGGAATTTCCATAACCTCATTTGGAGTAACATATGAAGATAAATGGGTGAGACATATACTCTACTGTTTTAAAAAAAATTGTCAACTATCTAAATTTTGATGGGATTGAGAGATGTCCTCATCTAGACAGAGCACCACCGGGCAAGCCA